TGATCATATCTCTTGATTGGATGATTCAAATCACATTCGGCAAATTGGGGTGGATATAGGACTTCATTATCTACAACTTTCATGAAGGAAGTTTTGTCAAATTCGGAAGTTTTATGCACTCCGTGCGTAGGGGAACGCACGACCGTGCGTCTGAGGCGAGAAAGCAAGGGAGACACTGCCAGCAACGCACGACCGTGCGTGGGGGGTACGCACGCCGTGCGTAGACCCGGGTTACGCGAAATTGAATCCCAAATCGACCCAAATTCATATTTTTTGTCCTTTTTCTATAAATAAGGCCCCCCTAACCCTTTTTGGACGTTACGAACATTACGGAGAGGTCTAGGGACGAATTTAACACCGTTTTTACGCTATTTTCTTCCAAGACCCTGGGATTATTTATAAGTTCATCTTTTTAATTAATGACAATTTATTCTATTCATCCCAATTCTGTTGATTCTTCAATTATGAATTGTGAGTAGTTTAATTAGGGATTTGGGGTTGATGAAGGGGTTAATCATGATTGATGGCTAGATTCTTGTTGGTTTAATTGCATGAATGCCATTTAATTTGTGTTTGAATAATTTAACTGATATCTTTTGTAACCTGGAACCGCGGCTAGAATTACAATTGCTTGTAGAATAAATTAAGAGAGATCTAGTTTATTCTTGGACACATTCACACACACTTAATCGTTCGCTAAGAGATTAGTAACGATTAAGGGGCCGTAAGCTCGCTCGTCTTGGCAATAATTTAGGATCTTGTCGCATGAGAGATCAGCCTGGTCCCCTAAATTATTGTACTCTACGCCGCGAGAGCGGTAAGAACTTAGTAATGATAAGCTAGGCTCAATTAAATTAAATTCATGTAATTAGACCTGATCTGCCAGAAATCTGGTTACCCCGGAATCAATTCCTGTTCCCTTCGTCATTAATTAGAGAGAAACCAATCTTTTTATTTAATCGCTCATTCGCATTAGTTTAATTTTTTTATACCAATCATATCTCGCACGACGCATTTATTTTATTTATTTTTAATCGCTGAATTTAATTAATTCTTGATTCCCTTTTGTCCGTCCCTGTGGAGACGATACTCGTACTTACACCACTATATTACAATCTTTTTAAGTGCGAGAAAACTCACATCAGTAGACCATTCATTCTTAATTGATTAAATGAGCACCTCAAAGAGTAGTTCATATCCTCTATGTGTTTTGATCTTCTGTGAAAATCGAAGTTATACTCTGGACAAAATTATTAATCTCAAAGAGTTCTATTTGAGAGCTAATACATTATGCAACATATATAGATTTTATAATGACTATCTTGTGTTCTGTCTTTAAACTTCAGTTTTCAAATTGATGTGGCTTAAGAAATCCTTTAAAAACAATGTGTGTATTTCAAAATACGGAGTATAAGAGTATCTTTATCCTTCAGCTTAGGGAATTCCCCCCTAAACTATTATTTACAACTTATAAGTGAATGTAAATAATTATTGCTTATAAAAAACTTTTAAGCATCGTTATGATCCTAATGATAAGATATCAGTATCTTCAATATTTAGTTAACGTCCAATAAGAAATGAGTTGGATGGTTCTACTGTTACCTTGATGGTCTGATGGATAGTTAGATAAATAATTTGTTAGCTTAATTAACAGCCATTGCATGGTAAGGCAGTTTCTTGTGATACAATGGTTTCTTAGTTTTACATGTTTCATGCATCTATTTGGTATAAAAATGTGGTCTTATTGGGTTAGAGTGAACCTCCCCCTACCTATTTATGCTTGTATACAATTCGTGTTTCACCAGTTTCATTAATTAAGAACAAACCTTGTGTAAAAAGTAGGAAGTGTACGATGAAAAACAGGAATTAAGTGATTCATTAGGAAATAAAACACATTGTTCTTCATCCTTGTGACTAAAAAAGGTGAAGAATAAGACTATTAGCTTATATAATAAGAGTGATACTTTTTTTGTCTCCAAAGGACAATGTTGATTCTATTGTCAAGTTTTATGAGATTCTTCTTACCCCTAAAACTGTTGTTAGTGAAACTCCATTCTCGAAGATATAATATTATTGTTGATGTCAATCAAATGCCTTAACTCCCAACCTTTGTTGAGTAATGAATACCTATCAGCCCTCTAATATCATGTACGTATAAACTCATTCACATTTTTTCTTTAGAGAGGTAAACTTTTTTTAAATAGTTTTATGGATGGTTTCCCTTACTCTTGTGATTGCTGGTGAATATTTGTGTAATTTATTTATCTAAAAAGATCTATCACTATTTTTTAATTTCCTGTTTAGACTTTGAAATCTTTTTTGATTAGCTGATAATAGCTCTCTCTCCATGGACACTGCAATTGTTACATTTGGGATGTTTACCACTAGCTGCTAAAGTGTTCAAGATTCATGGGGTGACTATGGATTCATTGGTGAATCTTGTGTTTAAAATGTCTGATGCTTTTGCTCTCTTTAGTCTATGCCATTTTATCAAATGAAAATGTAGTTATCTGGATTAAATGTTTTCAAAATGATTTAAAGTGTACCTTTGATGTGGATGTGTTTATTCTTTAAACGATAAAAAAACACAACTTTAAATGATGATGCTACTATATTGGTTAAATCCACTAAACTATTTAACATATTTGTTGCAAATCTATTTTCTAAAAATAGATTAATGGAAATAATATCCAATACAACTTCAGTAATGCAGCATATATGCTTGCATACCTTTTACGTATGAAGATTTGTATGATCAGTTACACATGCTCTATGTCTCGTGAGGATTTGATGTTTGTTGGGGGGGGGGATCAGACTTAGTTTTGATTGTGGAAGATAAAATGACCCCTAACAAGGAGGAAGTGGTAGAGAGGTGTGATACCTTTGCAAATTGTAGAGAAAAGGATGGACTTCAAGATTCTGGACAGTAGATGATATGGTCTTGAAAAGCATACTTTTGGGGAGAGTTTTTCTTGTTATGTGGAGTAAAAAATTTCTTTTGGTTTCCTATTTCAAAATATTTTAAATTTTGTGAACTCTATAGGTAAACATGCAGGCCCCTACATTTAGTTTTTTTTTTCAGTTCAAGATTATGTCAAGTTGAAGTTTTTGGATCTCAAGGAATCATAAATCGATCAGGCTAGAGCCTTCCTACGTACTGCTACACCTGGAGAGTATAACATCTACGCTGTGTTGTGCTATTTTGTGGTCTTCTGGAGAATAAACCAGATCAGGTCTAATATGAAAGTCTCATGTATCTTTCTATTGTGTAATCCTGCACTAATTTTTATTTCTACAATATTAATCTGGTGAAACCCGTTTAGCAATAAAAACAAGTTCATTCAATCCCTAAACAGCAACTTCCCATTATTACTTTTTATTTTTAGATCAAATGCTAATAAATTCGTTTGTTCTTCAAAACATAGTTTGTGTGCACTCTTTAGAGTAATTTGATGCTTTGATTTTTCGTCTAATTTTTCTTCTTGCTGCCAAATTGGAGATGAAAAACTTTGTCTCTTATAAGTTGACATGCATAATTTTATAAATAAAAGAGGAAGTATCAAATACCCTAATGATTCAGCGGCTTCATGCAAGCTTCTAACATTTGATCTCATTTGGAATCTTTCACCAAAGTGTTTTATATCAAATTTTAAATCCAACTCTCCAAAAGAGTAACATATGTATATAACATTGGACATTTTCCCAATCGCGCAATGCGCGTATAAAAAACTAGTATAGATAGAAATTCTAATACATATGACTTAATTGTAATACCTCCTCTTATATGTGTGTTTAATACATACTACCTCCGTCCCACTATGTTTCGGACAAAGGAGTGTGGCACAACTTTTAATAAAAAATGGAATTGTGTGGTGGGTATTGAATTGATAAAGTGTAAATAAAGTAAGAATGAATTGTAACCATTCAAATATTACCAAATATGGTATGTGACAAACGTAATGGGACGGACGAAAAAGGTAAAACGGGACAAAGTTAGGGGGACGGAGGGAGTAGTATATTTGAACACATTTAATTGAACACATCATTAATCGAAAATTTTCCAATTTGTTAAAATGTCATGTTATTATCTAAGTCAAAGTTTTATCTCGTTAATCTAAAAATTATTTCTTTTGTAGTATTTTCATTTGATAAACAGAATTATAAATTTAAATTTAAAATTTTCATTTAAATTTTCGGGGTATTACAATACCATCTCACCGGGTTGCTAGACAACCCACAAGACCTCCACTAATCCCACCCTCAGAGATTGTGGCCTTGATGTCACAGGAGTAGCTTACCATGCAACGCTGTTTGCTGCTCCAGCTGCCGCCTAGGACTGCATCGTTGGTAGAATTTGCTGCAGCCCAGAGATGAGGGTGCCAACCCCCGCAAAGAGGTCCGCAATGAGGAAATTCTGCAATTGCAGAACCACCTGTGCAGGTGGCATTGCTGCTGCATCCCTGTTCTGGGAAAGCTGGCGGCAGATATCAGGGGAGTTCTGCTGGATCTCGTCACGGAGATCCACAAGAGCGGGGGCCACCCGTTTGCCCCCTGGCAGCTCTCCTGACGCCAGAAGTGTGGTAGTCTCGATAGAGGGCTGAGGTTGAGCGACGGGAGCAGTCACACGTTTGTTCCTTGTCATACGTTTCACCCTTGTTGTTGTTTGGGAATGCTTGCTATTAAAAGCATTATCGTGATTTGTTGTTTGAGAGGATCTCACTTGATCTCACTGTTCAAGCCTCAATGAAAGCACCAAAATTATGGAGTTCCGACTCTGGGGTAAGCGGAATCCGGGAATAGAGAGGCTAAAAGTGCCAAGTAAAAGTGAGTAAGAAATTGGGCAGTGTAACAACAAGTTTGCACATAAAGAGTTCGATCCCTTTCCACAAGCTGGAAGGTGATATTTGTACGATGGAGAAAATATTTGGCCAACAAGTAAAAAGATGTTATTCTATTGTGTTGAGGACACATGTATTACTTGGCTAATGATAAGCCTAATTTGTTAACATATTTTCACTCACTTTTTATAGTGTTTCTTGTCAAACTTGGGGCAAATTGTTACATTTTTCTGCGTTTTTGTTTCATTTTTGTTAATGTTTGGAATTAGTGTTGATGTTTACATTTTTTGAGTGATTTGCATTGAATTCAAGTTTTTAGATTGATCTTATGTTTTTTTTCTTCTTCTTTTGATTTGTTTTATCTTTATTTTGTAATTTGTCAAATATCTGGTTTTTATTATATTTGAAGTTGATATCTTTTATTACAAAAACAGATGAAATAAAGCAAAAGAAAACCCAACAAAAAAAAGAGAAACTCAAAAAAATAAAAAGCAGCAAAGCTGCGTGACATTAAGAAAACGAAACAAAAAAGGGGAAAAGAAAGGAGACAAGATGGGACGAGGATAGAAAGCCAGCAGAACAGAAAGGGATAGATAGGCACCCGCACATGGCTGCGGAAAAATAAAACAAAAAAAAAGACAGCTGCCAGGAACAAGGGAGTTTTCACCCGCCGCAAGGAGATGGGATGGGGAGCCAAATCATCTGCTGGGAAGATTAATAAAGGATCGGCATCAACTGGAAGTTAATGGGACACACAATTCACACCCATAATTCACACACAATTCACACCCATAATTCACACACAATTCTGCCGCAGAGCAATGACACACCTGCAATCATTCAACCGCAAGGAGCTCTTGGCCGGAGAAAGGAAGAACGAAGGCATGGGATAGGCAGGAAGAAAAAAAGCTCTAGCAGAAAGAAAAGAGAAGAACATCAGTTCTTTTATTTTCATCAGCTATCATCTTTCAATATTATCTTTTAAGGTTCGATGTTCAGTTTCTTGGTTATATTCATGTTGGATTAATCTTTATGATCTGTTCTTGTATTATTTCTAGTTTTCCGGACTTTCATGTTTGTTCTTGAACTGTTATTATTCTGAATTTTTACTCCGTATTTGAATTATGCTCATGTATTATTTAGGCTTTTCCTGCTTAGTTAGTAGTGATAGTTTAGTTACAATTATGCTAGACTAAATTTCCATGGGGTTTGGATTTGGATAAAGTTAAGGTTAATGGGTGTTCTTGAATATTGAATTGAATTTGGGAAAATTTTCTAGTTTTTAGGACTAGTTGTTTGAGATGAAATTGATTGAGTAATTTGTGAAATTGATCACTTCACTTGTGAATGTTTGGAAAATTAATTCTTGCTTGTCTATGAGTGTAGAATTAATTTAGCTCACATCCCACACACCCTAAACTAAGCCTAGAAATAGGACATGTTAGGGGAATTAAAACTAAATACTTGTCTATGAGAATTAGTGTCACTATTCTTAGATTAAAGAAATTATCCCATTTTTGTTCATAATCAAAGACACCCAAGACCCTTAATTCCAAATCTAAACTCCACTTTTAATTAGTTAATTTTTTGTTACTAGTCACATTGAATTTACCTTTAAGTATTTTATTTTTGAAACTTTACTCATCCACATGTTTGCTAGTTTAATATTTTAATTAGTTAATTTTCTCTCAAGTTATTTTGCATGTTCACTAGTTTTAGTTTACTCCTTAATGTCATTTAATTAAATTCTCCGCTACTACTTTTGTTGTTTAATTTTATTTACTTAATCATTATCACAATTAATCGTTTGAGAAAGCTTGCAACGACTCGTATTAACCGGTGACCGATATTAAAACCAACACTTCCCTCCGCCATTCCTCAAGAGACACGATACTCGGGGAAAAACTGAAAGGTTAGACTCCGTTTTACTACAACGCCGCGAAAGCGGTCATCAAATGGCGCCGTTGCCGGGGAGTGGCACGGTTGTAAGTTGGTTTTTATTATTGGCATAGGCGAACCCGAGTTAGTGAGACTTTCTCCTTTATTTTTTTCTTGTTATTTTTTGTGTTTTTTTTTTCTTTCAAGTTTGCAGGATCTGTTTTACTCCCTTTAGAAATGAAGGATGGCTGGCCTTTTTCTCCATAACCTCAAGGAACATTGAGAGGGTCTGAAAAAAAAAAACAAGATGAGGGAGAGGCCAACAGTGATTGAAATATTAACCTTGGACTTTTTTGAGGAAGATAGCATCACCATTCCGCCAATCGATGCCACTGATTTTGAGATTAATCCTGATATCATTCAAGTGATATCAATTAATCAATTTGGCGGTTTGAAATATGAAGATCCGATGGTGCATATGTTGTGGTTTAACAGAATCTGTAACACATTCCGGATTAATGAAGTGTCAATTGACATCGTGAAGCTTATCTTATTCCCATTCTCTCTTCGGGATAAGGCTATTCGGTGGTTGAATTCTTTTTCACCAGGTCACTTCACCACCTGGAATGCTCTTCACCGGGCATTTATGCATGAGTATTTTCCTCCATCAACGGTTGCCAAAATCAGAGCATCAATTCAAAATTTCAACCAGGCTCCGGTGGAATCCCTGAGTGAGGCTTGGGATCGATATAAAGGCCTACGGAGAAAGTGTCCTACACATTTCATGAATGCTTATGACTTGATGTTCTATTTCTACTATGGACTTCAAGTTGTAAGTAAAAAAGAGTTGGACTGTTATTCAAAGGTGGGTTCTTTTCTCGACATGACACCAAAAGAGAGTGAAACACTCGTGGAGAATGTGGTATCAAATGCTAAGAACTGGTACTACAAGACAGAATCTTCTTTCGAGACTACACTTCAAGGCACCGATCAAATTTCAGCCCTCACAACAATAATTGACAACCTGGCAACTCAAGTGAAGAATCTCAAATCACAATCGAGCCAGGTAAATATGCCCAGTCATTTCATGGAAGTTCAGGAAGGTTTGGTGGATGCTAGTACTGAAACACCCAAAATTGATGAAGAATCCATAGACGAGAGATGGACGTCCACTGAAAAGAAAAACTTAGTGGGGCTGCAAAGTGAGGGATTTGATGAAGATGATGAAAGTGAAAGTGAAGAATTCTTTGAGCCAATTTCAGAAAAAGTTGGTGTGGGAGGCATTTTGTACGAAAGTGAGTTTGATAAGGCATCTCACCGAGAGGGGGAATTTGAAATACTTGTGGGTTCACCATGCAAGAATTTTAAGGAGAAAACCTCTGAGAAGAGCAATGAAATTGAGGAGCTTCTGGATCTACTTTTGGAGACGTTGGATGTGCAAGTTGACCAAGAAAATTTTGCACAAAATGTGGAAGAAGAAAGTGTGGAGGAGGTCCTTGACTTGCTCCTGGATGTACTTGATACTAGTACAATGCTCAAAACAGTCCAGGTTGAAGGGGATCTGGAGAATGAGGATGACTTTCCTTATTTTATTTTGCGACCTGAAAATGAGAAAGATGCACAGGTCTTTGTTCTTGCTTGTGAGTTTTTTATGAAACAGAGGTGGTACACAAGAAGAGTCCCGAGGGTCAAGCTGTATGATCCGAGAGTTGGAAAGTCAAGGAAAAAGTGGGAAAAAAAACGTCAAGCTAGTGACGTTAAAGAAGCGCTTTTGGGAGGCAACCCAAGTGTTAAAAAAGGAGGTTTAAAAAAAATTGCAAAAAAAAAAAAAACAAAAAAATAAAAAATTTTTCTTTTCTTTTCCTTGTTTGTGTGTTAGTTTTAATTCATCATTATATTTTGTTTGCTTTAGCTTTTTCAGGTTAATCACCGGAGTTCCCCAATTGGATTAAATTTTCATTTGTGCTTGCTCTTTCAAATCTTCTTCAATGTTGAGCACAAGGGGAGTACTTCTTACTTTTCTCTATGATTTTTTACCCTCCACGTGTGTTTATTTGTGATTCATCTTAAGTGTGAGGAGGGTACTTTAAAAAAATACAGATTTGCCCTGTTTTATTTTGATTTTATTTTGAGACCTCGAGGACGATGTCTATTCTCAAGTGTGAGGAGGGTTTGGAACAGGGCAATGGACTGATCATGTGTGCATGACAAGAGGCTCAGGTGAACTAAGTTAAGATCATTAATAAGCTAAGGTGTAATCTACTTTAACTATTTTTTTTGAAAGTTTTGTTAGAACTAATCTTTTTATTAGCATCATACTTTTAAAAAAAATCTTTAAATATTAGTAGATATGCTTGATTTCTACTTTGAAGTTGTGTGCACAAGTTTGGATTTCTGGTTTGAATGGTTGTTCGGTCTTACTTTCTTTTCATGGATATATACAATGCTCCTTGGTTAGCTTAAAATTTAAATTCTTTGGATTAGGGAGAATTCTATCCTCGAATGAGGCTCTGCTTTTAGCATTTGATAGAATATCTCTTGCTATTCTGGTTGTACTTGATTATTGATTTGAGAAGTGTCTTCGTTGGGAGTCTCATCTCCGAGAAGGGGCGCTGCTCTTCTCATTATCGTATTCTGCGAGAGTTGAGTATATTTTATATATTTTATGAGATAGCCCCACAAATCAATGATTTAGTTTAACCATAAAATTCATACCAACTTGGCTTGGTTTATAGCTCCCCCAAGATCATTCTCAAAAAAAAAAAAAAAAAACTAGGGGAGCTAAAACTGTTTTTAGAACTGGAGCTTGTGTGTATTTCATGACTAGTTAAGGATGACTGAGGGTTTTTGAATGTGAATGTTGACTTGTGCTCATAACTACTTAGTAGCATTTTTTGCAAGTATGCTAGTATTAAAGGATTTTTTTTTAGTATGTTGTGTCATAAAAGTTTAGTTATTAATGTACTCTCATGGAAATATAGTTAGATAGATTGGAATATTAGTCTATTAATGATTGAATCCAAGTGATCTTGAGCCCTTGAGTTGTGCACCATAAACAATTTGCCTTGAAAATATGTTTGAGAGTAGTTTTGTTGCTTGAGGGCAAGCAATGCTTAAGTGTGAGGAGATTGATAAGCCTAATTTGTTAACATATTTTCACTCACTTTTTATAGTGTTTCTTGTCAAACTTGGGGCAAATTGTTACATTTTTCTGCGTTTTTGTTTCATTTTTGTTAATGTTTGGAATTAGTGTTGATGTTTACATTTTTTGAGTGATTTGCATTGAATTCAAGTTTTTAGATTGATCTTATGTTTTTTTTCTTCTTCTTTTGATTTGTTTTATCTTTATTTTGTAATTTGTCAAATATCTGGTTTTTATTATATTTGAAGTTGATATCTTTTATTACAAAAACAGATGAAATAAAGCAAAAGAAAACCCAACAAAAAAAAGAGAAACTCAAAAAAATAAAAAGCAGCAAAGCTGCGTGACATTAAGAAAACGAAACAAAAAAGGGGAAAAGAAAGGAGACAAGATGGGACGAGGATAGAAAGCCAGCAGAACAGAAAGGGATAGATAGGCACCCGCACATGGCTGCGGAAAAATAAAACAAAAAAAAAGACAGCTGCCAGGAACAAGGGAGTTTTCACCCGCCGCAAGGAGATGGGATGGGGAGCCAAATCATCTGCTGGGAAGATTAATAAAGGATCGGCATCAACTGGAAGTTAATGGGACACACAATTCACACCCATAATTCACACACAATTCACACCCATAATTCACACACAATTCTGCCGCAGAGCAATGACACACCTGCAATCATTCAACCGCAAGGAGCTCTTGGCCGGAGAAAGGAAGAACGAAGGCATGGGATAGGCAGGAAGAAAAAAAGCTCTAGCAGAAAGAAAAGAGAAGAACATCAGTTCTTTTATTTTCATCAGCTATCATCTTTCAATATTATCTTTTAAGGTTCGATGTTCAGTTTCTTGGTTATATTCATGTTGGATTAATCTTTATGATCTGTTCTTGTATTATTTCTAGTTTTCCGGACTTTCATGTTTGTTCTTGAACTGTTATTATTCTGAATTTTTACTCCGTATTTGAATTATGCTCATGTATTATTTAGGCTTTTCCTGCTTAGTTAGTAGTGATAGTTTAGTTACAATTATGCTAGACTAAATTTCCATGGGGTTTGGATTTGGATAAAGTTAAGGTTAATGGGTGTTCTTGAATATTGAATTGAATTTGGGAAAATTTTCTAGTTTTTAGGACTAGTTGTTTGAGATGAAATTGATTGAGTAATTTGTGAAATTGATCACTTCACTTGTGAATGTTTGGAAAATTAATTCTTGCTTGTCTATGAGTGTAGAATTAATTTAGCTCACATCCCACACACCCTAAACTAAGCCTAGAAATAGGACATGTTAGGGGAATTAAAACTAAATACTTGTCTATGAGAATTAGTGTCACTATTCTTAGATTAAAGAAATTATCCCATTTTTGTTCATAATCAAAGACACCCAAGACCCTTAATTCCAAATCTAAACTCCACTTTTAATTAGTTAATTTTTTGTTACTAGTCACATTGAATTTACCTTTAAGTATTTTATTTTTGAAACTTTACTCATCCACATGTTTGCTAGTTTAATATTTTAATTAGTTAATTTTCTCTCAAGTTATTTTGCATGTTCACTAGTTTTAGTTTACTCCTTAATGTCATTTAATTAAATTCTCCGCTACTACTTTTGTTGTTTAATTTTATTTACTTAATCATTATCACAATTAATCGTTTGAGAAAGCTTGCAACGACTCGTATTAACCGGTGACCGATATTAAAACCAACACTTCCCTCCGCCATTCCTCAAGAGACACGATACTCGGGGAAAAACTGAAAGGTTAGACTCCGTTTTACTACAACGCCGCGAAAGCGGCCATCAGCTAACAAGAAGGAATGTACTATTCTAATTGTATGGTGACATATGTAAAATTGATTGGAGAGATAATCTTGACAACGGGCTTATTAGTAATATGTCTAACATAATTGTCCTTTGTGTACGAGAATGCATGTGTGCAACACACGTGTACTATCCAAAATACTATGTGTGATAGCCGCTTGGGTGAAGTAAGCCCTAGACCGCTGTCACGCGGGGCACGTGGTCGCAGTTATGCGTGGTGCTTGATCGCTGAAATGTCTAAGTTCAAGATCTCATTATGAGACCCCGTGCTCAGAGGATGAGATCAAGCATGGGTTCAATGTGCTTATCACGGAGGGAGCAACCTCAGTTTGCTGCTTGCCATGTGGAGGTGATCCCTTTGTTCCGCTGACATCCAGGAGCGCTAGTTCACTTCAAGCACAGCTATGACGCCGGATTCGACGCTGACCTCAGCGTGGGTCGACCTCAAACTCAGATGCAATTTTGGTCTTATCTTTATAATCTGGGAGTCGAATGTTTGGAGCGACCTCGACCGGGGCGAGCTCGGACTCGACGGATTAATGACTTATTACTTCTAGAGACTAGTTTTTTTGTGGACGTTCATACTCTTGGGGTATATGTGAATGAATTAATTCCACTTTTGATTCTACGAGTTTTATGTCAATTCCATATTTAGTCCGTGTCTTTCACTTTGTCCACTTTTGATACTTGACTAATGTTTTTTGACCATTTGTGGTCCTTCTCCGGCGATTCTAACCACCGGAAACATGGCCGGAAGGACTACATATGGACGAAAACACAATAGTCATGTACCAAAACTGGACGAAGTGAAAAATATGGACTAAATGTGGAATTGACATAAAACTCGTAGGACCAAAAGTGGAATTTATTCATATGTGAATATACTCCATTAGTAGTATTTTCATAAAATGTTGATATCTTAATTAGATATACATGTGTTCTCCTTGATTAACTTTGAGTTTTTAACATTAATATATTCTTACATAATATAATAAGAGTACTTAATAGGACATTTAAAAGAAGAAACATCTAAAATAATTCATCATTACTTAAACAAATAAACAACAAAACAAGTCATTGTTTAAAACTTAGATGCTTATTATATAAAAATTCTTAGTTTTGTAATGTTTAATTATCTTTATTAGATAGTCAGTACTCAATTTCGTAAAATATTAAACAATACTCCCCCGTCCCAATTTGATGGTCCTGTTGCGGTTTACGAGATTTGACCGAGGATAAAGCAAACGAATCTCTGTCCGCAGTCAAATTATTTTTAGGAAATTAGTAGCAGAGTTAATAATTTTTTTAAATAATCTATGATGAATTAGGTCTTAGATTAGTAGCGGAGATCTACTGCCATAAAAATAACCTTTTAATGACGGTAAATAGATTCTCATTGCATACTCATTAATGAGAGGAGTCGTATACTGTCATTGTTTACTTTTAACAGCGGAAGCTATAGTGACGGGGGATGACGACACAGATTTCCCCTTATTAAAACTCTTCTATGACGGGCTTTCATCTTGATACTACACCTATCTTTTAGTCTTCCCCTTAACTCTCTCATCAATAGTTACTCCACGATCGAGTGGTTAAGTAGAAAAGCAAATGACCATCAATAATGACTTATAATTATGATAATAAATTGTACTACCTCCGTTCTTAAATAAGTGCAACATTGCAAATTTTACACTATTCACATGTTCTACTTTGACTACATTTTATTTATTGATGTATCAATATATATTTTTGAAAAAAATATTATTAAATTTGTCTCATTGTATATTTTCAAAATCTGATTTTTTTTAATTTTTTTACTAATAGAGAGTTATATATATTAATGGTCAAAGTTGTGCCTCGGCAAATGTGAAATGTTGACCGTTGCACTTATTTAAGAACGGAAGTAGTATTATATTTTAAAAATTAATTTTATATACAACTTTCATTGAATTTAAGAGGTATATTAAATTTAATTTAACAAATATTAATGTGAGGGGTATATATAGTGAGAATGATCAAAACTGAGGGGGTAACTAATTAATTTTGGACAAAGGCAACAAATGAGGGAGTAATTAAGCTAGGCACCACCCAGTGAATTACATTTATTAGAATGTTATTATTAATACACCATGATAGTATATTTTGTGATACGGAAATGATATGGTTTGGTATATGAGAAACAAATGAAGAATGAAGATGAATTCAGAGGCGAGTGGGGAGGAGGAGGGGCGGTTCCCAAACAATTTGACTAAAGGTGAGACGTGAAGTGAAGGCGGGGTCGTGGTCGAGATGGAACACAAAAGCTTTGGGCAACCCTATCCACAGCTCTATCCCCCCATCTTCCGCGTCCAGTAAGAGAGCCAAATCGGTCAAGCTGTGAGCCGGACCCAACCACCTGGGCTTCCCCCACCCGAAGTCCACCTCCAGAAACTCGAACTTGAACCAGCTGCTTATGCTCAGCACCCGCACCGCATCTGCGTCCCTCGCGATCCCTTCCCCCACCTCCCCTATTGCTTTCAGATACGCGCCGCCTTTCCTCACGTACCTGTCGTCCATCTTCCTGATCGATTCCCGCACGCTCCCGATCAGTGACTGCGCCGTCACTTCCGCCCCCTCCGCCGCCCACCACGCCGAGGTCAGCTGGTTGATATTTCCCAGGCAGGTGGGCGGGAAGGGCGGGACCAACCTCCCTCGCAAGTCCACCGCGTTCGTCAGAATGTGCGTCTTCAGCTTCGGGTTCGCCGCCAGCGTTGCCCTGATCACGGCGGCCCATATGAACGCGGACATCGCCTCCACCCGAGTCGGGCGCCGCCCGCTCATAACCTGCAGCCCGTCTTTTATCCGCTCCACCTCCTGCTTTGAGAACACGTACCGCTTCCCCATGTATTTTCCGCGCGCCTGTCCCCTCAGGGCTGCGAAGCAGGATATCGCCGTGGGGACGTCGTGCTTTATCGGAGGGAAAATCGCCGTGGGGTCGACGACGAAACTGTCGCGGGTGGCGGTGATGACTCCTCCCCGGTTGAAGCCGGCCCAGGTCCGGATGAGGCCGACCACGCCGGAGGCATCGGCGAGAGCGTGCCAGAGGCATATCGCCAGCGCCGTCCCGCCGCAGGGGAAGCGGTTCACCTGAACAGCCAGGAGGGGCTGGGAAGGGTCGAAAGCCGTCGGGTAGGGATGGCGCGGGAAGAGCTGGCGGAGGAGGTGGACCTTGGGGTGGCGGAGGAGGTGGGCGAGGTGGGCGTTGGTGACGTTTGCGCGGACGAAATCGGCGCCCTCGTCGTTGCAGAGGACGGTGAACTCGTCCTTCTGCCTGCCGGCGAGAGGGTAAAGGAGGGAGAGGGCCTTGGAGAGCGAGAGTTTGAGGCGGTCGTAGTCATGGGCGGGAGAGGTGGCGGCGTAGAAGAAGACGATGGGCGTATAAAAAGTGCCGGTAAGTTGATCATTAAGGCACAGCTTATAGGTGCGCAAGGATTCCGGGGTAGGGGAAAGCGGCTTCACCTTCTCCTCCTCATATCTTTCCACTTTCAGCTCCATCATATTATTATTGTTATTATTATTCATACCGAGCCGCCCATCCATAATAACTTCAACTCGTCACTCTCTTTTATACTACGTACTAAGTAGGGTCGAAGACCGTAACATACCGAGCTTTTCTATCGTACAGTACCGGTTCTTGGTGAGGACCGTTCCAGAACCGTATTGAACTGAACCGTCTCGTACCGTTCTGAATTATCCCGAAAACTAGTATACTAATATAATACTCCGTAATATATTATATATAATATATTACCGAGTATAAATGTTAGTGACCGTATGTCCCGAAAACTAGTGTTATAATATAATGATATACTATATATAATATATTACGGAGTATAAATGTCAGTGACCATATGTCCATATATTACAAATATGCAATCTTGCATATTCTTTGGGCGTAATCCAATTATTAAGACTTGACAACACTAAAAGTTAGCTTTAAAACATAAACAATACTAAATGATACTGATAGTATAAACAATGCTACGTAAATAGGGCTAATTATATTTCATGGGGGTTAATTATTTAGGAACCAAATAACACCGGAGAACCGTACCGAACCGTATTGAAAATTGGTACGGAATGGGACATGTTCTATATATATATATATATGTGGGACGGTAGCGGTTCTTGATTTTTAATTAAAAGAACCGTAATTTGGGACGAGATAGGTTTTTTTAAGTAACCGTCACGTACCGTCCCATGCTCACCCCTAGTACTACGTATGTACTCCATTATTATATATTCCTTCCCGGTTTTATTTTTAGTTGAGTAAACACATATATTCCTATATATGTCCTATATATGGGGTGGTTTGCACTTTTTTTGTTAGTTCGGGGGCTTATTTGCCCCTTTTTCCCTTTAAAGATTGTACGAAGTAATATATAGCTTAACTTTGGCACATTATTTAGAGAATAAAATAATGGGAAAAATAAATAAAATACCCCAAACTTGATTATCCCAAACTTGCGTATGCAATTATAACCTCATAAATTTACATTTTTGAAAGAAATAATACATGACAATGGTGCAAAATTAAATAACTTTTTATATAAAGTTTGGGGTATTTAAATTACATACGCAAGTTTGGGGTGTTTAGCTCACACCCATCAAAATTTGAGGCATTTTTATTATTTTTCCCTAAAATAATAGAAGTATTGAATTGTGCTGAAAAAGTTAGAGTAATTATGTAAAAGTATGAAAGTTTGGCAACCTTTTTATTCCTATATACTCTCTCTTTATTTTTTAATTTGAATATACCGTAAATATAAATATGAAAAAATGACTAAAATATTGCCCGGGGACTTTATCAGGACAAAAGTAGGACCTTTCCTACGGTGGACTAAAAAGAGATTAAA